GTGTGTGTATATGTATATATATATATATGTATATGTATATATAGACGTATGTATGTATGTATGTATTCCTAAATGAGCATTGTGACATGGCTGAAAATTAATTTTTATTCTATCCAGCCACTGTCCTGTCATTGCAATTAAAAGACTTTCAGTGTTACTTTTAGGACCACCAGATTTTAATTTTTCTGAAACACAATAATAGTCTTCTCTTTCTCTTTTCTGCAGACCCCCCTCTTTCCATAACCCACTGCAGAAAAAGCATGGAAACACCGTGAGTAACCTTTCCATAACACAGAAGCTCTACTTAGGTTTACTTTAAAGAAGCTCATCATTAGATCTCAAAAAACGAATCAATTTTAGTAATTTCTTAATCTGATCAGAAAGTGTTGCTTTACGACTTCCTGAAACTGGTGTACTTTAGTAATGCAAATTAGCCACATTTGCACAGTATTTTTTGGACACAAAAACTTCACAGCTAAAGCTGATAACATTGACAGTGTGTCCTTCATTCACCACTAGAGGGTTGGGTTGTYCTTGGTTGGAATGTATGCTTCTTTATAGCTGGACTTCCTGATCCACTCTCTGAGCTACAGAGTTGAGGCACTGTCCTCTTGTTCAAAAAGTTTTTCTACTAAGTCATTTGCAATGTTGCTAATTTGAATATTGCAAATGTGTCATTATTTGCAGTGTAATTGGCATTGCCTTTAAAGAACATCAAGATTTTTTTTATTCAAATTCTTGTGTTTCCACTTTTACTGTCAATATTTCAGGTGTTAGTTCCCCATGTGCAACATTTTGTGCAAACTACTTGCTCTTTGATTAAAATTTTCATTTATTTCTTTATTTTCTCTTAAAAAGGTCATCCTCAGGAAAGATGAGTCCAGAAAGCATTCATTCAAAAGCGTCCTTATCAGAATCATCTGAAGACAGTCATGACCAGCATGTGAGAAAACCACCCCCAAGTCCAGGGAAGAAGGAGGAATTATCTTTGTACAAGAAAACTAGAAGAGCAATAACAAGCAAGAGGTACAAGTCAAAACATGAAGCTGAAGCAACAACTCCAATTGAACTCATCAGCCGAGGCCCAGATGGACGATTTGTCATTGATCCCACTGATGCAAAAATGTTTGTCAAACCTCGACGAATTGAGGGCTTTCCCTTTGTGGAAGAATCCGACCTCTATCCAGAATTCCGTCAGTCAGATGACGAAAACGACGATCCCAGGCCTCTTCCGCCAGTTATGGCTCCACTCCGACTTTACCAGATATCCCCAATCTCTAGTCAGGAATCCTACCTTCAGCCTCCAGCCTACAGCCCTCGTTTCCACAGGCCGTTTGAAGGTATGACCATCATGGAGAGCAGTCAGCTCCACGCCACAGGGCAGATCCGAGGCGCTCTACAACACAGAGCTTTCTATGGCTATCTAGGGCCCACTGGAGAACATGATCCCCCGCCTCCCTTTTACATGCCGGATAACAGCCCACTGAGGTCTGTCATGTCTTCTCCACCATACCTTGCTGAGGGTCCTTTTGCACACCCCATTATTCCTGAGGAAATGGGAGAGGGGGACTTTTCACAATATGCTGTTTCCAGTTTCCCACTTCCACTGACACTCACCTCCTCTTCTCACTCACCAGAAATTTGGCAGGGACTAGATTTCACCTTTTCAAGTCTTGAAGGTCCTCAGTTCATTTTTCCACCTCATCCCCCTATACACCTTTGTCATGACCGTCCCTATCCCTCCCCACCTCATATTCGTCCTCTTAGTGCTTTCCCATCCTCTTCCCTTCCAATGCCCACCTACCCAGCTGTCCTGCCACTAGAGGCCCCAAAGAGCCACCCAAGCAAGTCACCCAGCAAGGCCAAGCCTCGTGGCTCCCCAGCCAAGCATTTAGCTATGCAAGAGGCACATTTAGGGCAGCTAAGACATGCAGGTCATGGTATGGGTGTGCCTGTTTTGCCTTACACAGATCCGATGGCTCATATTGTTCCTAACACATTCAGTAGCCTGGATACACGGTGGTTTGAAACTACCCCTCATTTCAGTCCCAGGCAGACTCGTAGAATGGATTCTGGCATGCATCAGGTGGTTCTCCAGCCTTCTCGACTTTCACCCCTCACTCAAAGCCCTCTTACCTCTCAAGAGGGTTCCCCAGAGATTGCAGTACGCCCTAGGCCCCGTGCCAGCATTGTGCAATCTTCAATACCCCCAGATATATCTGAGATTACCCTCCTCCCTCCTTCCACAGCCAGCTTCTCAAGGAGATCATCCCCATCCTCTTCACCTGCTCTAGGTCAAGGTAGCAGGAGAACTAGCCCCAGCTATCGTTCCCACATGACTTTTGCCACCTCTGCAACCAGCTATCCAGCTTCCCAGTCCCCATCACCCCTGATGGAAAGCAGCAACATATTTGGGCAGATGCAGACTCAGAGGAGGACTGAGGAGGAGATTCTTCCATCTGAGCCCTCTCCACCCCAGTTATCAGCTTCAGGGTAGGTCTGTTAGGCATGCAGAGAGGGATGCCATTTGTTTCATCTGCCTTACTTCATTATGCTTTGATGTGGGAAGTTGCTCTTACATTTTGGGTTTTCCAAGATTTATATCCACTCTTTTTAAAAATTATCTCCTAGCTAGTTAGTTTGTAGTTTAGCTTGTGTGTCTTGTGAACACTAATTGGTTTCAAAGAACCTGTTGTGTATTATCATTCATTAAAGTCCTGGGAGTTGTCAGTGTAACTTTAGGGAGGGTCAATGCTGCTTTTATTGTCAGACATTTAGATGTTCATTGTGGTTTGTGGATTCCACTGAATTCATGAAGCACTGTTCTAAGTTGATTGCCCAGAAAAGAAACACTTCTTAAATGAAAATATCACAATGTAAAACAAAAATATAGATATGTGCGTCATTTGAAAAATAATGTTTTGTTTTTACAGATTTCATTTCATACCTTTAGAGCTACAGTTTGAATAAGAAACAATGGGCCTCATGCAAGAACATGTGCGCATTCTTTTTCTAAATTTCTCTTACTTTTGTTCGTATGAAGGGTTCGTACGAACATGTCACATCAGGTTCAACAAACTCTTCTATCTTCAGAAAAGTGTGTAAATGAGCTGCGTAAATTCCACCTGTTCATATCCAGCTGCTCGTGCACGCGAGAGGAGATTAGTATAATTACCACCCCAAAAACACCATATAAGGCTGTGTTTCCTGCCTCAGATACAAGGAAGTGTCCATTCATGAAAAATGACAGCGATAATTAAAAAGAAAAACTTTACGAGTTCAGAGATTGAAGTCCGTCTGTCAGAGATCCAGAAAAGAAAATCTGTCATTTTTAGCAGGCCAGCATTTTCATTTATTCAGAAGACACAGTGCTGCGCACCGTACACCCCCCCACCCCCCGCGCGCTGCGCGGGCGCAGGTGGTCTCAGATGCGGTTCTGAAATAAGCATTTTAAAAT